TATGGACCACACGGTTCTTCCTTTTCGTTGAATCACCCAGGGTGCAGGCGAGCCGGCTGGCTACTTTAACTGGGCCTGCAGTGGACAAGCTTCCCATTCCGTCCCGGCCCTCTTAACTAGAAAGGGAAGATCCCAGCTCGGCCCATTAATGAACACAGAGTTAGAGGCTACCTGGGTGCAACTGACATCCAAGAAGGCCAGGGTTTTCGTTAAAAGCAATCTGTAGTCATAACAGTTAAGAACAGGTTTATAAGGTGTTCAGCGTGTAAGCCTGAATTTCATGCCAACCAACAGGCTTAGGAAAAGCCTTCTGTAATTGTTCTGTGAAATTCTCTACTGCGTGTCTGGGCTTCCTAGTTGTTTCTCTAAATCCTTTTCAGGATTTTCTCACTGGGCTGGTTTCGTCCAACATTGGGCCTGACCCTCGCCAACAAGCATGTGAACCGACTGACATACATCTGAGAGACTGGGTTGAAAAGACCGAGTAACTATGTTAAATTCCTTGACAAGTCTGTAAGGATCTGCAGAGGGCTTCATTCAAGGTTCAGGTTCTGATAGGTGCAGAGAAGGGAGTAGGGACAGTCTGGGAGAAGAGGTAAGTTCGGAGAGGATTAGAATGAAGGAGGATGGGGTGGTGGAAAGGGAAAGAACTAGGCTGTGGAGGTGGGCATGAGCACAGGAGGGCCCCAGGCACCTGCACACAGGGAAGCCAGGAGAGAGAAACTGAGGCCTCACAAGCCATTCTGTCGTCTTCCAGTTGTCTTTTGCCTTAATTTAGTAATGGTTTTCTCGCAAAGTGGTGATCTTAGAGTCCTGAACATGTTGGGAGCCTCCAGGTGCCAATTTAATCTTTATTCATTTTTGAGAGAGAGACAGCATGTGAGCCAGGGAAGAGCAGAGAGAGGGAGACACAGAATCCGAAGCAGGCACCAGGCTCTGAGCTGTCAGCACAGAGCCCGATGTGGGGCTCGAACCCATGGACCGTGAGATCATGACCTGAGCCGAAGTCGGACGCTCGACCGACTGAGCCACCCAGGTGCCCCCAGGTGCCAATTAAAAATAAACATCTCATTCACTTTGTTTACATTTATATTATTTTTTTTTTAAGTAGGCTTCATGCCTAGCACAGAGCTGAATGTGGGGCTTGAACTCCCCACCCGTAGATCAAGACCTGACCTGAGATCAAGGGTCAGACATTTAACTGAGTCACCCAGGAACCCCTACTTTAAATTTAGAGCCATGGTCTTCTAATTTGATTTTGAGAAAAGTTAACTTTGGGGAGACCTGAAGTTTCCCTGAATGGCTTATCTTTAGCTAAATTTGCCCATTTGGTTAAAAATGTGCATGAGGAAGGACCATAGTTGTTAAACAAAGCTGGCCAGGGTCCCGGAAGGAGGACCCTCCTGAGAAAACTTAGCAGATTTGGATCTTGTACTGTTAGCTTAAAAGCTCAGAAAAACAAGGGGTGCCTGGGTGGCTCAGTCAGTTGAGCGTCCGACTTTGGCTCAGGTGATGATCTCTCCGTCTATGGGTTTGAGCCCAGCATGGGGCTCTGTGCTGACAGCATGGCGCCTGGAGCCTGCTTCGGATTCTGTGTCCACCTCTCTCTCTGCCCCTCCCCTGCTTGTGCTCTGTTTCTCTCTCAAAAATAAACAAACATCAAAAAAAAAAAAAAAAACTCAGAAAAACAAGTATGCATCCCAAGGACAAAGTCTTTAAGACAGATCCTGAGTAAATCTGGAGAGCTCAAAATGCGGACAGTGGATCTCAGGTGCAGAGGAGACTTACCCCCCGGGGTCGGCGAGGAAGCAGAATGCTCACGGAGTCCGTTGCTCGCCGGCCTCAGGGGCTGTTGGGGGTCTTCTCTGGCTCCTATATTTGACACCATATAATTTCGACCTTGCAAATACAACAGCCGGCCATTTTACCAGAAAAAACGGTTTTGTTCTGGAATGGCAGAGGAGTTGCACTTCAGGGTATGCAGGCTGTGGCGAAACCGCAGGCAGGCAAGTCCGGAGACCAAAGGAGAGGAACATGGTAGAGAAAAGGCAGGGGGTTGGGTGGGGCTGGTCTGAGTGGCGGTCCACCGGGGGCAGCGGGCATTGGGGCTGGTGGCGCTTTCTCACTGGCTGGCTGGTACCAGGCCGGAAGGGCTTCCTCCTCCTGCCGGTCCGGTGGGGGGACGGAGGGCAGGTGGGTGCGGTGCCCACCGGCTGGAGGCTCTGTGTGGACCAAGCAGCTCAGGCTCCCACGGCTCGGGCCTGGGCTGAGCACGTGGATGTCCGCCAGACCCGGAGGCTGTCCTGGAGGGACGGGGTGGGTCCGGCCCCTCCGCTGCCCACGGGGCGTCAGGGCAGGGGGGTGTGCGTCGCCGCAAGGCCTGCCCTTCCCGGCGGTGGCTCCGGCCTGGGGAGTGGGTGCTGGGCCGGAGCAGGGCGAGAGAATCCCACGGCTGCTCGTGGAAGTGCACGGACGAGGGCTCGGGGAGCGGTCCGCCAGCCTTCGGTGGGAGCGGCACGTGGGTCTGGAAGCATCGCCAGCGCCCGGCCCCCGGGCTGCCGCTCCGGGGGCTCCTGTCGGGTGGACGCGTCCGCTGTGTTCCGTGCGGCCGGCATCTCGTCGGCGACGTCCACCGTCGTGTATGGTTGTGATGTGTCACTCTTGGTGCTGGGCAGCGTTCCGCCGTGCAAGGCCACCATCCTGCTAGTACAGCGACTCCTCTTTGTGAGACCGCGGACGCCCGAGTGCCTGTTGTTCAGTGACAGGTGCTCTGCATGGCTCACTTTAATCCTCGCGTGGAGCAGACCTCAGCCGGGCCGGGATCTCGGGCCCTGCCTGGAGGCCCGGCTCCCTCTGCCCTGCACAGCTCGTTCATGCTCCTTTATCCGTTTTCCCAGCTTCTGTGTCTGAAAGGCTCCGCCTGTACCCGGCGTGGTCACTGCTACTCCGATCCCCCTTCAGGGGCAGGTGGGAGGATTGCCATCTGTCCCCTACGTAGGGGGTGGTGGACTCGCCAAGACCAGGGGAACAGATGGGCCGTGGGATGTGCATCACGGAGCAGGACCCAGGCCGCGCTGGGTGGCACAGAGCTGCCGCGGCCCCGCGGATGGTTCCGGAGCACGGCCTGCCCTTCACCGGGCCGGCTGCTGTTCGTACTTTGCTGTACCCTCACTCCTCCCGCTCTGGCAGGGGTGGGCGGTCACTGCCCTTGTTTTACCAAAAACTTACTGGGGTTCAGGGCAAACAGAACTTGATGCACCACAGGCTACTGCCCACCCTTGAGGAAATGAAGCCATCAGGGCAGAGCCCCCAGTGTGGTTGCCCACCCCCTGTCCCAAGTTCTGCTGGCTCCCGGTGACTCTGGCCTGCCCCATCCTGTCCTCTAGGGTTGCTGAGGAACCCACATGCTTGTGGGTGGACAGGTCCCCCCTACTGCTCCAGGCAGCCCCCCAGATGGGAGCCTCTCGTGCAGCTTCTCTCCTGGGGCCCCTGCTCTGCCTTGCGGGGGGTCTCATGGGAGCCTGCTGGCCCTGATCATGACCCTCGAGGGCTCCTCCTCCTCTCAGGTTGAAATTCAAATGGAACTGCTATGACTGGCTACCTGGAGGCCCCTCTCTCCACCCAGGGGCTCAAGCCCGGTCCTACCTACCCTGTCAGGGTGTCGCCCCACAAGGACTCCCGCCAGGGCCCTATGCTGGAAGCCAGTTCCTGCCATGTGGACACCGGAGCCTTCTGCAGGACCCCTCACCCCCACCCCAAGTAAATGACCAAGAACAGCTTCTGCAGGTAAGGGGGCTCCTTCAACTTTTGGGGAGGGACTTCCCGCACAGGGGACCCAAATGCGCACAGGGTGACAAGTCCTCACGCTCAGGCAGACCACTGAGAACTTTAAATTGCTGTCATCTGCTTTATTGACAGGTAAATTGTTCAAAAATGTTCTCACGATTCAATAATTACAAAGACTCAGACTTACATTAAAAAAGTAAAAACCAGAACCCCCAGCAGGTGCCAGCCCCAGCAGAAGGCCCAGGGAGGTGGGCGGGCGGGCAGTTGCTGGGCGTGTGACACACACAGGCAGGCCGTGGTGCCCACGTCACTCAGTGCCGACTCAAGGTAAGTGCACGTCTTAAACAGCGTCGCCAAGAACGTCGACCAGCGGGAGAGTGGGGAGAAGCCCGTCCTGGGCCAAAGACCAGCTGTGTCTGCTGGCCAGTTAACCATCAGCCTTTAATGGGACAGGCCACAAACCCGATCACTCAACACGTGAGCAAGGAAGGGTGAGAGTAAATACGCGGGCCGAGCCAATGTGCAGGAGTGTGTCGGGCGAGTCTACATGATGCATACGGGCACTAATCACAGGGCTCCATGCAGGGGCGGGGCGTCGGGGGCGCTGGCCTCCTCTCGCCCAGCAGGCCTCGGCCTGGATGCTGCTCGACGCTCCCCGGTTTTGCGGTGAGGCAGAAGCTGTGGAAGTGAGCTGACTTCACAGTAGTAGATACAGGTGACGCTTCACGGTTGTGACCGGGAATGGACTAACACACACAAGGGACCCAGGGCAGGTGTCACTCACCAGGGACCTGTGTCCATGGCTATGAGGTCGGCGGAAGGTCGTCTGCAGCTGACTGTGATGGCTAAATGAATAAAAAGGCCACCGACTAACCTCCACTTTCCTGTCTTCACAATTCTAGTGACACTGGGAATGACACACAACTTCCTACTATTCTCCTAAGGTCCTAGGAAACAGTTTCAGGGAACAGGCTCGTCACTGAGGCTGCGTTCCGAGCTGCTTCCTCAGCAGGGCTGCGCTGGGCCCACTGGGTGTCTGCGGGGCCCCGTGCGCCTTCTCAGCTTGATCTGGGCTGGGTGCTGGTCCTTCATGTGCAAACGGAACAGTGTTTCCTCACAGCTGTGCAGACGAGTGGATCCGGTCTACCGCCACAGCCCATGCGGCATGTAACTGATCATTACTATAATAAAGATTTTTCTTTATCTCCATATCTACAAATTGAGTCTATGTTTCCTCGGACAACACTGGAGAGTCAGCTCAGTCTTGGCACTGACAGTGGAGACCACCCCCAGCTCCCAGGCCCCACGGTGGTGAGGCGGCAGGCTGGAGGTTTCAGGCGTCGGAGGCCGGCTGCTCCAGGCCTTCCAGGGGGAGCTGGCTCCTGTGCGGGGAGTTGGGGCTTGGGGGGCCACTGGGGTTGGAGCTGTTCGATGGAGTCGAGTGTTTGGTCGAATCCGAGTCGGGCTGTTAACACAAAGGAGGGGGTCGGCGTAAGAACCAATCACCCTGGGCCTGTGGAGGCTGTGTGCCGCCCAGCCAGATGTGGCCATTTGTGGTGCCAAGATGTGGCAGCTGCTGTCCCCTTGTTAGGACAACACACCCTCTTTACCAGCGTGTCACACGGTCCTTAAGGTTGCTGGTAAGAGATCACAACCCCACAAGTAATTCAGTAATTACAGAGGAATGAGCAACTCCACCGTGAAGAAACCAGACGGTCTGAAGTCAGACAAGGCATACTTTCATGATAAACTTTCTCAACACGATAAAGAATGTCCATGAAAAACCCACAGCTCACTTCATACTAAATGGTGCAAGTCAAAAACTTCCCCCCCAAGGTGAGGAACAAGCAAGGATGCCTGCATTCACCACTGCCGTTCAACATTGTACTAGAAGTTCTCGCCAGAGCAATTAGGCAGGAAAAAGAAGAAGGCATCCAAGCTGGAAAGGAAGAAGTTAAACATCTCTGTTCACAGATGAATCTACATACAGAAAATCCCAAAGAACTCACAACTCTCCCACCCAACCCAAACCAATTCAGCAAAGCTGCAGGGTACAAGATCAACACACAAAAAATCAGTTGTGTTTCTACACACCCGCAATGAACAATGTGAAAAGGAAATTAAGAAAACCATTATATTCAAAATAGCATCCAAAGCAGTAACCCCTAACTACGAATAAAGAGGTGAAAGATTTCTACACTGAAACTGTTGGCTACAAAATATTCCCCAAAATTAAAAGATGACCTAAATAAATCGAACAACATTCCACATTCATGGGACAGGAAGACTGAACATCATTAAGATGGCAATACTCCCCCATAGTGATCCACAGATTCAGGGCAGTCCCTGCTGAAATTCCAATGGCGCGCGCTCCTTTTTTCCAGAAATGGAAAAGCCAGTCCTCAAATTCATACGGAATTGCAAGGGGCCCAGAGTAGTCAATACTAAGGAAAAGATGGGAGGAATCACACTTTCCAAACTTCTTCAAAACATAATACAACAGTAATGCACTGTGGTGTGTATTAGCACAGAGAACAGTGGAATAGAACTGAGAGTCTAGAAATAAACCTATCCAGCCACGGCAAACTGGCTTTTGACCAGGTGCCAAGACCATTCAATGAGGGAAAGAAAAGTCTCTACAACAAATAGTGCTGGATATTCACATATGAAAGGGTGAAGCTGGACCCCCCTACCTCCAACATACAGAAAATTAATTCAAAATAGATCAATGACCTAGATAGAAAAGCTCAAACCATAAAACTCTTAGAAGAAAACACTATTAAATCTTCAAGACTTTGGATTCAGCAATGAATTCTTAGGACCTCAAAAGCACAACCAACAAAACAAAACAAAAAATTGGGTATCACCAAAATTAGAAGTATCAAAGGACATTATCAAGAATGTGAAAACACAACCCACAGAATGGAAGAAAGTATTTCAAAATCATATAAGGGTCTAGTATCCAGATTACATAAAGAATTCTTCAACCCCACAGTGAAAAGCCAACTCAGTTTTGAAAAATGGGCAAAAGACTTGAACAGACCTTCCTCCAAAGGTATAGAAGTAGCCAACAAGTACACAAAAAAGATGCTTACATCACTACTCATTAGGGCAACGCAAATTAAAACCACAATGAGGTACAGTAACTTCACACCCACTAGGATGGCTTTTAAAAAACAAAACAAAACCAGGAAAGTAGCGACAAGGATGTGGAGAAATCTTAACTTTCATACGCTGCTGGTGGGAGTGTGAAATGGCCTACAGTTTCTGTGGAAAACAATTTGATGGTTCCTCAAAAAGCTAAACATTTTCCACTGCTACGTAGGCACTTGCACGAATCCGTGTACACACACGTTCATACTGCAGTATTTTAAAAAAATTTTTAATGTTTATTTTTGAAAGAGAGCATGAGTCGGGGAGGGGCAGAGAAAGGGAGATAGAATCCGAAGCAGGCTCCAGGCTCCGAACTGTCAGCACAGAGCCCGACACAGGGCTTGAACTCACGGACCCTGAGATCATGACCTGAGCGGAAGTCAGACGCTCAACCGACTGAGCCACCCAGGTGCCCCTATTCTTTACAGCCAAAAGGTGAACGCAGCCCAGATGTCCATCAGTGGACCAAGGAGTACACGAAACACGGTACAGCTGTACGATGGAGTATTTGGCAACAAAAAGGAACAACCCGCTGACACCTGCTACAACGAATCTCGAAGACCTCTTGCTCCGTGAAATAAGCCAGACATGAAAGGCCATGTAGTACACGATTCTGTTCATACGAAATGTCCACAACAGGTGACTCCACAGAGACAGAACAAAGATTCGTGGCTGCCACAGGCTGGGGGAAGCGTGTGGGACGGGGAGAGGCTGCTTAGTCGGGGGTCGGGGGGCAGGGGTTGGGGCGATGGAAATGTTTTGACCCTTGATTTAGCTCGTGGTTGCACAACTCTGGACATGCCTTACACAACCACCGAGTCGTTCACTTTCAAATGGCTGCTTCGTGTCACGTGAACGTCACTTGCAATAATGTCAAAGAGGAACAAACGAGGTCAGTGCAGGACAAACAGGGGCTCCGTGCCTCAGGATGGGACACGTCGAGGACACCATGTCCTCCGTGTGGTATTCCAGCCTGGGACATACAACTGGAATCTCAGGAAATGAGGGACGCACCCGAACTGAGGAGCGCTCCAGAAAGTAAGGGACGTGTTCTCCGCAAAACGTTACGGCAAAGACGGAAGCTGTGCTCCGGGGTGGGGGGTAGCTGAAGATCTGAGGCAGCTGAATGTCTCGTGTGACCGGAGACAGGGTCCGTACCAGGAAACCGTGCTTGCGGACACTGTGGCCCAGGCAGACCACGGCCGGCACTGTGGTTACACAAGAGAAGGACTCCCGGTCCTCGGGGGAGGGGGGGGGGGCGGGGGCGTGGTCTGTCCCACCTCTGGATACAGTTCAGGAAGTGGCGGGCATGCGTGCTTACACGCACTTATTTGCTGGTCCCCGGGAGATCTGGGTGGCAGGGAGAGAGTTATGGGGACTTTCCACTGTTACCCAACTCAAAACGTCAGAGAAGCCTTGACTGAGGGACATTCTGCAACAGGACTGTAGTGATAACAAATCAATGCCATGAAAGACAAAAAAAAAAAGGCCAGACCCAGATTACAGACGGGACTACATATGCAACGTGTAGTCCTTCACTGGGGCCTGGGTCTCAGCAAGCTGTAGGGGCCGTCACTGCGCCGGGAGGGTGCAGAGGGGCGATTTGAGCCCCGCGACCGGGGAGGGAGGAGGTGCTGCGAGACCGGGAGCCACGTGCGGAACTGGACCAGGGCTGTCGTGATGTTCCAACTTATTTTCTGCTGGTTCGGCCCCAAAACGTCAAACAGGGAAAAGCGGACTATGTAAAGGTCTACTATTCTTGCAACGTTTCTGGAGGTTTGAAATTTTTCAACATAGACAGTTTAGGGGAAAAAAGGAAAATAAGAGAAAAAAAACCAGCCCTACCTCCAGAGCCATTAATCGTGGGCAATTTCAGGGAAGTTCTATGAAACCTTCCGGGAAAGAAATTCCATATATTATGGCCACTGAGAGTTACGGGCTTCCTCGGTGTTGAGGCCAGTACGCTCTGAAACAAAGCTGGCCAAGCACACACACACGACGTGAGAGCCACAGCTCAACTTTACCGATAGGCATAGTCAACCAGACGATCAGACTGAATCCGTTAGCGTACAAAATAAGAATACCACATCGTGACCAAGGAGGATTTGGCCTCAGAACACAAGGACGTCCGTTCTGACGTTAACAGGCTAGGGAGAGAACCACGAAGGTGGTCACTTTGGAAAACTTTGATAGAAGCATCTTGATTAATACCCATCATCCCTTCCTTATTGACAAAACAAACTCTTCCGAAGCTAGGAGGAGAAAACCACTTCTTTAGCCAAGTGAAAGATGCCCCCCACAAAGGACAGGTGGGGGCGGGGGAGGGTGAAGTCTTAGTGAGACGCGGGCAGGGGCACAGAGCCAGTGGTGTAGGAATCCAAACCTAGGCGCTCAGGAGCCCCGGCCAGGGCACGGAGAGAGGCAGCGCCCACCTCTTCGTTCCCACCATCTGCCCTGCCCAGGGCCAGAGAGCCAAAATTCCAAGGCCATCGACCAAACACAAATGCCAATGAGAATAGAGCAAGGTGACTGGACACTGAACATTCCAAAGACTCCAGGAGTAACCACCAACTCTGTAATGGAAGATTACAGTCCATTCACGATGGCAACCAAACCTTCAAATTCTTTAAAAAAAAATTTTTTTTTAATGTTTATTTATTCTTGAGACAGAGAGAGACAGAGCATGAACGGGGCAGGGGCAGAGAGAGAGGGAGACACAGAATCGGAAGCAGGCTCCAGGCTCTGAGCCATCAATCCAGAGCCCGGCGCGGGGCTCGAACTCACGGACCGCGAGATCATGACCTGAGCTGAAGTCGGATGCTTAACCAACTGAGCCACCCAGGCGCCCCCATACCTTCAAATTCTTAAGAGTAAACTTACCACAAACATGCATGGCCTGTAAGAGGGGAACCATTAACTGGAGAGATGCTCAACGTTCCCACACAGGAAAGGTCAAGATGGAGGACATCCCCCAGATTAATCTATGAATTCACAACGTAATCCCAATGAAAAGCTCAACGCAAGTTTTACTTTTTTACTGTGGAGGCAACAGGCTGGTTTTAAAACTTCTTTGGAGTGGGGCACCCGGCTGGCTCAGTCGGAAGAGCGTGCGACTCTTGATCCCGGGGTCGTGGGTTCAAGCCTCGTGTTGGGTGCAGAGGTTATGTAAGTAAATAAATTAAAAGAATATATTTGGAGAAAAAAACAGCTAAGAAATTGTTCTAATGGGGGAACAAAGAGATTTGCTCTGCCCAGTCTCCTGTTACAGGTGGTGCTGACAGAGGAAGAGAATCCAGTGGGTGCACTGGGGGACGGCCTGTCCATTAATAGAAATGTGTAAACAAAGGAATTTGACTATAATAAAGACATTTCGAGTTGGAGGGAAATCGGTGGCACGGGGCCAGCATGCCATCCACTTTCGCAAGAAATGAACTCAGGCCCTTGCCTACACATGCACGCAGCCATCGCACACACTCCCTCTCTCAGACGTCGTGACGGCACGACAGCAGAGACCCCCTGCCAGACTCCTGCAGGCACCAGGAGAGAACGTTTATCGTAGGTGAGGCAGACTGGACTGCACGAGAATTCATCTGTGTTAAGACAGAACACCCTTAGAATTGAGGCACAATCGAAGGATTAGTGATACCGGCCAGAGTACTTGCAACAGGGAACATGGACGATGAGTGAAGAGCTTCTGGAAATCAGGACGAGGGGTGAAGGAGTGCAGGCGAGCCCCGGAAGAAGAAATGGCCAACGCACGTGTGGAAAGCCGTGACCTCAGTCAGTGAGAATGAGAAACGTGTGAACGGAGACCTGCTGTCTTTGCCTGATCGGTGTGGCAGCCAGTGTGAGCACGCCCAGCCCCGGGGCCGTGTTTTCGGACAGCAACATGGCAGGCTGTCCAGCTCCTGGCCTCCTACGGACAAGCTACTGAGGGCAGAGAGACCGGCGAGAGCCCCACGGCCCTCACTGCCATCTCCCACGGGAGCACCCTGGTGTGCACGCTCTGATCCCGAGCGGCCATCAGAGGGGCAGGACAGAGAGAAGACCGACGTGGAAGACGCAGAAGGCCACCTGTGCAGCTACCAGTATGCTACGTCGCAGTAAGACGACACAGAGAGGTCTAGAAGGAAGAAGTTGGCTGGACTTCTTACGGGAAGGCGTTCGTCTCTCGGTCACACGGCAGGGAGGCGCCGACTCGTCAGTGCCCAGGAGCCCACTGCCCCGCCACCCCGTGCCCGGGGCGGCCACCAGTGCCTGGCTCCCGAGGCCTTGGTCTGACGGAGGAACGTGCCGCTCAGGCCACTACCCGGAGAGGGGAGCCTCCATCTTTCTCCCGACGGGCTCAGGGTCCCGGAGCCGGTGCCGTCCTGCCCCCCCTCCTCAGCGCAGCCCCTGAGAAGTCGTCGGTGGGAAGCCCCCGAGGAGGTGACGAGCGCTCAGGCCGGCCTGTCACCAGGCTGCTCCTCCTCCTGCGCTCCCGCCCCGCTTCCCGAGCCCGCTGGGCCCCTGTGGCTGGGCCGGGTGGGGTGAAGCCTCCGTCACCACTGATTTGCCTCCATGTGCGGAGATGCAGACACTCGGGGGGCGTCCCTGTAACGAGGCGAGTCTTACCTCTTTGTCAAAGTCCTGGTCGGGGTCGGACATACTCCTAAGGGGCACAGCCACTCCGGGCTCCGACCCACCTACGGAACGAGGACAGCCGTCATCTGGACTGAAAGCCTGGAGCTCCCCCACGCAGGCCCCCGCCCTTGGGCACCTCTGGTACCTGATGAGGGCCACGAGATGTAGGGCTTGTTCCTCGGGGGAGGCTGCCGGGACAGGCCGGGGGGAGCAGGGCCAGGCCTTTCCTCCTGGGAGGGGGGCACGGCGCTCTGGGTGGAGAGAACAGCAGTGAGCACGCTCAGGGCACCCTCGCCAGGGTGCAAGCAGACTGCGGGGGGGGGGGGGGGACCGCGGCCCAGCAGGTACGCCGGCCACAGAGCGTACAGACGCCCGGGGACCCCGTGAGCAAAACGGACGGTGGCGCTGGGCCAATGCCGAGCTAAGAACTGGGAATAGCTATTTTAGGCTGAGCCCAACCCTGTTTTGTGGTTTTAAATGAAAAACTATGCTACCTGCTGCTATCGAGACGTTCTTGAGAAATCATTTTTGACAGCTAGTTTCTCTCGAAACGCTAGCAGCCCGAACCCGTGACAGACACCAAACGCGTGTAAACGCGCCAGCGTTCACACACACGCACGCAGCCCCTGGGGCGGCTGCAGGGCCAGCTGAGGGTGGGAACAGACCCATGTGCCAGGTGCCCCGGGTCTGCTGGGCACCAGGGCCGGGGCCGGTGACACAGGCAGGCGCGGATGTGGCTCCCTCGCCCGGCCCGCCCCGTCCCGCGAGCTCACCAGAGGCAAGTCCATGAGCACCTGCATCCCGTCGCCTGGGCCCATGTGGGCCACGTGGTTGAAGTTGGTCGGGTTGGAGATCATTTTGGACCTCAATTCTGGGTCTCTGAGCATCTCTCTGCGGAAAGAAAGTGTTTCTGGGGCTCAAAGACGTCGAAGTCCTCCTGGCTCCCCTCCTCCCGCCTCGGCGAGGCTGGGCCACGACTCAGCTCTTACCGCCGCTGCTGCAGCCGCTCCTCCTCCGGCACCTTGAACACAAACCGCCTCTTGCTCCTGGTCCGCAGCATCTGCTTCTTGCTGCCGTCGGACGTGTCGGGCACGTTGAGGACCGTTCCTGCGGGAACACGCAACGCCGCCGCAGGTCACGCGTGGCCCTCGTGCTGCTGACACGCGGGGCCCCTCCTTGCCTCCGCGCGACATCTGCCGCGGGCGTCTTACCCGAGTTCTCGCTCTTGAAGTAGATCAAGCGGGGGGGCTCGCAGCTGAGCAGATTGAGGGTGCCCTCGGAGTTGAGCGGCCTTATCTGCGTCGGAAAGCAGAGAGGGGCGGTAGCCGGGGGCGCCGCACGGGAGGACGCCGGCCCCGCCCCGCCCCGCCCCGCCCCGCCCCGCC